ATGAGAAGCTAAAATAAATATTCTGGATTGCAGCAGAAGAAAAAAAGTCTTTCATCCATTTTCTCCGAGTCTCAGAGATAACTCAGCAAAGAATAAATCCCCATCCTAGTAGTGCTGTATTGGCATGACCCACAATGAGTAAGACATGCTGGGAGAATGCCAATATACTTTGAAGTTTTAAATTTAAAACTTTATAGAGACGAAAACAACCTTAATTTTTATTGACTAATTTGGCAAACAACATATGAACTAAAAAATAACTTCAAGTGCTAGAACTCTGCCTGGCAGTCTACATTAAAGAATCTCACCTTGTAAATAATTTACGTTAGCTTGCAAAGGATACAGTTCTATCCTTCTTTAGAGATTGAACTTTTAACTTTAAAATCCCCAATTTAAAGGTATTCACTTTTCAGCTCTGTTTTTCCTTTTTTTTTTTTTCCCTTCTTATACTAAGAAATGCAAGATGTGCACATGAATTTTACTTAGATGACTCATGGAAAGGCTCTGCTGACACCTACCTCTTTAGTTTTTCCATATAATAGGAAGTTAACAAGCTGTTAGTCATACTTCTATAGATTTTTTTTTTTGACTAAGCAAATGCTGTAATAGTGTACCAAAATAATTACTTGTCAAAGACTAGTCCAGAAATAGGTACAACTACTGTTTAGAAGGTACTTCCATAGGAAATCACTACAGAAGTTTTCCATTACATATTTATCTCTAAAATAGCTACTAAAGCTACTTGTTGGGATAGCTCTCTTGAAAGTATGCTGCTTCCACATTAAAAGGCTAAGCTGGACACAATGCTTGTAGTTGATTTTGGCTTTCTATACTTACAGCAAGTATCCAGCAGTAACAGTCCATGCTCGTACCAGACCTTTCAACCACTGTCTTGTATGTCCTTGTTCTAGTAAAGCTGGAAGCACCACCTGAAGCAAAAGGAGCTCTAGGGAAAGTTCACTTACTGGAGCATCACTGGAAAAATGGGAAGAGCAGGAACTCAAACATAAGGAACATTCTGATAGTAATCTTTTACACTGAATCCTGCTAACATCACTGAAATATAAAAACCATATTGGATGCCAATAGGAACAATTCTTAGGTTTTTGCAGACATTTTTCCTTATATACTACTCTGAGCACAGGTCAGGTGTTCATGAGTGTTTAGGCACTTAGGTGCACAAGAAATTTAAGAAAAAATATTGAGAAAGACTATATCAGATAATATGATTTGTTATTCTATTTGCTTCTATCATTTAAATTATTATTTAGAAACAGAAAGATACTGCCATCATTAAAAAGAAATGCCAGTATAGATATTCTTTTATTCTTGAAGCAATGATAATCAGGAATGAACGGGAAAAACAAACACGGCAGCAACTTCACTATCAAAAAGTTGAAGTGCAAAGTGTTCTGAGGGCATATAAAAACGAAACAGTTATCATTACAAAAGTAATACAAAATGCCTTTAATTTTTCTTAGTTTATTTTTATTTGACATTGTATGATGTATCCACATCCTTTATATTTTTAATTTTCTAGAACAATGATGTGTAGATTAATTGAAAAAAAACCCAAAACATACCAAGCAATTTCACATTAATGCTCAAAGAGCACAAATACATATTTTTCTAGCTATAGGGAGACTAAAAAAACCATCTTTTTAAAATTAAACACTTACCTGTAGAGCATAACATTATATGGAAGAAAGTTAGGCAGGAGATACTTAATAATGCGTATAGGAAGCCAGAGCATGAGCAGTACAATTGATCCAAAGACAATCTGCAACAAAGAAATTAAACAAGTTAGTTCAAATAGCAAAAACAAACAAATCTAGTCTCCCACCCATCTCTCTGTTGTGTCTCCTGGGTGTGGTGGGTTAGCCCTGGCTAACAGCCAAGTATCTACCCAGCTGCTTGCTCATTCCCTTCCCTGGCTGACCGGGGAGAAAATAGAAGGCAGGCAAGAAGACTTGTGGATGAAGATGATGACAGTTTAATAGAGAAAGCAAAAGCTGTGTGCACAGGCAAAACAAAAAGAAGAATTCAGGCAATATTTCCCATCAGCAGAGAGATGATTTGCAACCTCAGGAAGACAAAAACCATAATAATGAACATCCTCCTTCCCTCCCCTTCCTCCTCCTTTTCCACAGCTTTTACTGCTGAGCACATAATACGGTATGGAACACCCCTTTGGTCAGTCTGGGTCAGCTGTCCCAGGTACAGCCCCCTCCCAACCCCCAGCTTACTGGGCTGGAGGGGTGAGGGAGCAGGGCAGAGCAGGAAAGAGGAAAGGCCTTGAGGCTGTGCAAGCACTATTCAGCCACAGCCAAAACACCTGTGTCTTAGTAACACTGTTAAGAGTCACTAATGCAAACTGTAGAAGGATCTGGGCCGCTAAGAAGAAAAATAACTCCATCCCAGGCAGACCAGTATGCTACGATTCTGTTGCCAAACAGCACCACGCTGAATAAGCACTGACCGACCAGCTGACAGGGTAATGTCAGACAGTTCTACTTTCTTCCCCCTCCCCCACTGGGATTACTAATTTTGGATTCCTCTCATTTCTTAGTGGCTGAGTTTTCAAGCAGCTTGTAGAAGCCTCAAAAGATCTTTCTGTATTTATTACCTCACATTTAAAATTGGCTCAAAGATCAAAATTTAGTAGGGGAGATCAGGTGCATGGAGATGATTCACTTTCATAAATCCTGTTTCCTTAAAGAATCAAGTACATTTTGAACACATTCTTGCACTTCATACAGATGCTCTAGAGACTAAAAATGCAAAATATTATGTGTTTAACTATGTAAAAAAGAAAAATCAAATCCTATTCTTCTTGAAACTTAATAGTTTATGTTCTACATAAGAAAATTTCTTAAAAGTACTGAGAAATAAACATAACTTGAAAAGTGTGACTTGTTTTTTGAAATGGTAAATGATCACCACTCTGGGTCTCATATTCTAGCATAAGCCTTGTAAAAGTTCTGAATGAATTAGCTAAGCAAATCAAAAGGTGAAGTTCAAGCGACTGTCAGTCCCAACACAGTCGGAGAACATATTTCTAAGACCTTCAGCAGATCTTTGCTTATATTTGGGCCACTTGGTGCGACACAAAGTTTCAAGCAGCTAAAGCATTTATGATTACCTGAGAAAAAATAGTATGAAAGGTGGACAGGTCAGCTCCTCTCAGTACTGAAAGGCTCTAACAGAACGAAGATCTCTCTGAGCTCTTGCTGCTCAAAGCACTTCAGGTGAATTAATAGAGTACGCTAAATAATAATGTTTCTGGTATATCAGTTTTCACAGTTGACATGATATTCATGTCAAAGACAGCCCGAGACCCTTCCCTTACTTGCGTGCTAGGCAAACTTCAGACAAACAAGCAAAAGGAAAAAAACTTTGATTGTTTTCAATATGTTACAATGATAACCTGGAAAGAGACACTACTGGGTAGATCAGTATAATTCAATCAAAACTTTACTAGGAAGTTACCCCTGCTGCACTACTTCAGCTGAACTGGTCACACAATGTTTACTGCAATACCTAAGCATCATGAAAGAGTTATGTGTTGTACAATATTCATAATAATAAACACTTATTGTCTGAATACACAAACATTCCCTGTGATTTTGCATAAGGAGAAGTTATCACAGCAAATTTTGTTTTGGAAGGGAACTCTAGAGGTAAACTACTCCAGCTGCTTCCTCTGAGCAGACACAGTCACGTCAGGTTGCTCAGAACCTTAACCAGTCGAGTTTTGAGTATCTCAAAAGATGTATATTCTGGTGGCAACCTGTTCCAGTGTCTAATCACCTTCATGGTAAAAATGTTTTTCCTTAAATATGCAGTAGCATATATAGGAGCTAACGTATGAAATTTTCTTTCCAAATAAAGAAATATTTCAGAAAAGTCCTTACCACTGATAAGATAAACCTCCTGAGATGTCTATAAATGGGCAAGTGAATCATTTCCTGCACAGGATTAAAGTCTGGATCATTCAAATTCCTGAGAAACCATAAGACACCAGGTCTCAATACCTGAGGTAGGAAATAGAAAACCATATATTAAGAGAAAATTATCTTTGTACTCTTCCATTTTGGATAACACTACTGCAGCACGTAAGTTCTAAACATAATAGAGGTATTTGTTGAATGAGGGTCAACAAAATGTCACAGAAACAGAACAAAGGAACCATTACTGTAGAGAAGCAGAGAAACAAAAACAAGCTTAATTTTCAAGTATTAATCAATCTTAAAAAACTGAAATGTATTTTGATTTATTTGAAGGCAACACCCATGTTTAAGGCCTCTTTGCAAACTAAAAATCTCTAAGTAAAATATACCCATAATCATAATTTTCCACTGCAGTAAGTACCAGTGTGGCCCTTTTTACATAAAGCTGAAATCCAATATCCACACACAAAACACAGTAGCAGCAATACCCATATGTGAAAGATTTTACAAACAGTTTAACATGAAAGCTTCTCTAACTAGGTTACATACCAATCTTGTTCTTACAGACTTACCTCTCTCAGTAGAAGAATGAATGATGCAAAATAAAAGACGTAAACCATTCCAACTAACCAGTGCAGAAACATGGTGGTACCTGGAGCAGACTGAAAGCTCAATTCTCTGTCTTTCAAAGTGGCATCAAACATCTCCTAGAAGGTAAGTAGTAAACAAATATGAATAAAGTTTGTCAAACCTCTACAGTTACTTGTTTTGTTTATCCTAGATCATATGTACTAACAGGTATTTAATATAAATGTCTGCCTTGTGCTAACACATAAGAAGAAAGAAGTCAACTCAAACACTAACATTCACTACCTAAGACATACATCAGTTCATACAAAGTTCATACACTGTGATGAAAGCAAATACTTACTCCCTTAAGTAAAATTCTGTTTCTACTATAGGCTAGAAGAAACTATTTTTCTCCATTTGAAATTAATAATTTAATTTTTTTCAAGGCAGACAAACTGTCCTCAATTTCAAGCAAACACAGCCTGTATCTTGTTCAAAACAGAAAGAGATTAGACAACTATTAAAATATAAATTCATTACCATTTCACACAAGTTTGCCTATAAGTAAGTTCATTACCTGGTCTTGTAAATGCAGTAAAAAGGATTAGGATCTTATTATTTAATAATAGCATGTTAATTTGTATTTAGTAACAAAAAGGAAAACAAAATTAGCACTAAGCAGTACCTGAAAAACCCTTTTTTCCCTCTGGAAACACTACGTTTATAAAAGCAGAAGAGTGCCGTCAAACTCCTATCAACAACTCTCTTCTCATCAGAACTTTTCTTCCTTTAAATATTATCACCATTAAAAAAATTTTATCTCATTTATTTCCTCTCTTACCAAAGAGCATATATCCAGCCACCAACCACAGATGAGAGGAAACACACCAATTTCAACCACCACTAACAAGGAAACCTTTAAGAAAAAAAGAGAAAAGAAAATCTCACTAGTTTAACAGAAATTGCTAAGAAAATTATGATCTAAGTTTAAATTGAGAGGGTTTTTGCTACACACAAAAAAATGGGATTACCTTGACAACAATATAGCAAACTCCTAATAAACGACGTGATCGCTGGAACTTAACAAGTGCTGCCAACCCCTGAATAGTTTTGTCAAGAAAATAATACTGAAAAATACTCTGTAACATAGTTTGATTAATATTAAACACTAGATTATATGGCTTTTAGCAACAGGAAATTTTATAAAAGACACAAGTGAAACAGGAAGTACGTATTTTATCAGGGCTCTCTTTTCAAAATTGGCAGCGACTCTGTAAGTCAGTCTGATGTGCTGGATCAGAAACATGCACCTAAAATAAACAAATTAATAATAATACTAACACTCTTCTTAAATTAAGCATCCAAAAGTTTTCTCAAGAAATAAACGGTTGCCTTCGAAAATGTCTGCCATGAATAAGCAAGTTTCAAAACTGAAGGCCTACCTTAAAGGGCAGCTTTCCTTTTCATGCAGTCTGAAACAAATTCTCACCTTTCCCAAGAAAAGCTGGATGCATATTACAGTTCTGTTTTCTTTTAGAAGGCAAAACAGAGACATGCCAATCAACTGTTTTACCACATTTGCACTGCACTTTGGTATAGTGTGGTCTAAGGTTGATGTTAGCTTTGTGTACTCTTGAACAGAAAACTGCTAGCAAATGTTTATTCTTTCAAAATGAAGTTGGTGTAGTCCCTTTAAAAACATGCAGCGAGAATGCAGACTTCCTACTTGTGACCAAGTCCTTGAAGCTTTCAGCACTCTGCTGCTACTTAATTTTCTCTGTAATAATGAGGGTTATCACCTGAAAGAAATCTTTGCTGCAAACTCTGTGGTTCAGAGACAAAATAGAAACTAAAACAACCTGCACTGTAAAGATACAGCAGGATCAAAAAGCTGTGACTAAATTTCCCATTGTACCCTACATACTTTCATAATCCTATTTCTCTTTCTGCTGCAACTACGTGGCCCACAGCAACACTGTAAGGAGAGTGAGGAAAAAACAATGGTTCTTCACTCATCTTCTCAGGCCTTCAAAATTTAGTTGGAGGCCTTCAAGCAAGCATAAAATCCTATGATTTAGTGTTGTTAAATATGTGCAAGTGTTCTGAAGAATGGAGTCACACTGACAATTTTTAAATGTCCAAGAGAACAGAAGAGACCTTTTCTTCTAATTTCACAAAAAGAATAGAGCAAAACGGTAAATTAACTGCATCTGCATCATGTCTGTGTCTCCTAAAACTATACCCAGAAGAATGATTTACATGTAAGATCTGAACCAGGTAACTACTGACAAAAGGATACATGACAAACAATTAGAGTCACTGCTAGCAGAACATATCCAACTATGGTTGTAATCAGGCCTTCAAAGTGAGATGCTTGAACCTGGAGGGGATGGAAAAAAGGGAAACTTTTATTAGTCTCTTAAAAGATTACATCTCATTTTCATGTAATTAAGACAAATTCCAAATATAAAGTCTTCAAGAATAATGACAGATTTTAGTTTTTACATATTTTAATAATCTACTACTTTTTTGGCATCTTCATCCAGAGTAGAAAATGTTTAAATTTACTGGAAAAGTCTAAAAACTACTTTCTTCAAATATGAAACAACCTCTATATAATGAAACAAGAAGTGTCACCTTACACTACATCTCACAACCTCCTAGCTTTTGCTACCTATTATTATCACCCAAGAAAATTACTCAGTACACAAATTAAGAATGTACATGAGGAACAAGAGGCTGTTAAAAAAAAAAGTATGCACTTTTTTTTGGTAAAAGGCAGAAACCCCACCTGAAATGTAAATAATGGAGGAAGTGGGAAAAAAAAGAGAACATTTTTAATCATAGATTAAAAAAAGGTTTGAGGAGAAAAATGAGAGACACTCCAAGTCACTTTTGCAATCACAAGTAAAAGTAGAAGGATGCTACAAAAATATTTAGATTAAGTAAACGTCAACAGCTTTTACACTTTGAAATTATAAAACAGTACTTACATATTCCTCAAAGCCCAAGCCAACAATGGAGAAGTGACCGATGTGGTATGGACAAAATGCTGTGTAACACAAGCAGAAAGAAGGGGGGGAAAAAAGGCCATGAAAACTAGTAACTGGAGCCTTATTTGCAGGATGTGTATTGTAACATGGTAATTATTCTACTTCTTATCAATTTCTGTGTAACAAGCAGAAAGAAGGGGGGAAAAAAGGCCATGAAAACTAGTAACTGGAGCCTTATTTGCAGGATGTGTATTGTAACATGGTAATTATTCTACTTCTTATCAATTTCGTGAAAACAGCTAAAAAAAATTACTTTCTGTGCAAATATTTGCAAGTGTTGTATTTCTATAATTTTACAAACACTGAAAATTAGATCAGAAATCACACTGAAAGACTACAAACAATATAAAACTACACAGAATAAGATGACAGTCTTCTCCTTAGTTCATCTTGCTAGTGTCGATCTCATAGCCTGCTGTAGGAACACATTCTGTATATTCAGTCTTTCCCATGCACTAAAAGACTTAAGTAGCCATTTTACATCTTGGTCAGATAGGACTTGCTTGAGCAAGGTTTCAGTTTTAGTGCTTTAATTCTTAAGAATACTGTGAAAGATGCAAGCCCTGCAGAAATTTGCAAAGGGAAGAGAATGTGAGGGGGAGAAAGATGATGCTCCAGGGAAGGGATGAGGAGCAATTCAGAAGTCTTTTACTCTGAATTAATGTATTAAGAACTGTCACCATTCCTTAGAACACGCTCTTGCCAATTCTGAGGTCTCAGGAGGAATTAATTAAAAACCACAGCACTTTCCCCATTTTTGGACACCTGGGTATTTGCAACAGGATCAAGTAGTTGTTTTAGCTCATGCTGTGGTCTTCTGAGCTATGAAGGACTACAGCATTCAATGTCACTTTCCTACAGGAGTGAGCCAATAGGAAGTGAAGTGGCTGAAGTATCTGCAAACTTTTATTTTCACCCCTATTGCCTGTGCTATGTCATGATAATCCACTCTGGGGACTACTGTAGCCTAAGGATACTATTGAATGCAAAGTCTGATGATTTTCTCTCTCCTCCTCATTTCCATATGACCAATATGTAAAAAAAACTAGGACTTGCATTACTCTAATCAACGACCAGAAAGTTTTAATTAACGTTCCTTTCAGAGAAATCAGCAGTAACTGGGAATAGCAAAAACTTAAAAGATAAAAGGAGGACTTGAGCCCTTCACACCCAGTAAGAACAAGAAAGAGAAAAGTGACATGAAAAAAACTCACACTCACAACTCCTAAAGACATCAGACTCATGACTTAAAGTTGTATCTTTTAACAGTGTTTTATAAGATTATGGTGCACAGTTTATAATGTTTTTTAAATAACTTTATTTAAAAGAGAATTTCTAATAGATCCCTTTTAATAAAAAACATGAAGGAGTACAAACTCCTCTACGAGTACTAAAATGAGCTACAGAAAATATGAATTAAGTCAAACTTAATTAACTTGTCCAAGAGAACATCATAGGGGAATCTCTGGACCAGTAACTAAGGTTCAAAATTCTTCTGTTGTATCTTCTAGAAAGTACCTTCTGTGACCTTGGAACTCACCAGGACTGTAATTACAAATAACTAGAGATGTGGCAGTTGTAAATTGGGCAGTATTACATAGTGGGAAAGATACGAGAGTCACGAATTAAACTCCCAGATCTCTTTCTTGCTTGCTTGGGAAAGTAATTCCCCTTCTCTAGTTGTTAGTTTCCCATTTGTTAAAGCACACTTAAGAGCTACTGAAAACACATCTATACAACAGCCTTATTAATTATGCTTATTACTCACTTATTGCTGAATACAAATCAAGGATTTAGAAATTTCATAGTTATTATCTACTTATTAAAAAAGCCAAATTTTATAGCAGCTAAAAAACCTAATTAACTTCTGATAACTACAGATTAAAATACTAATTATCAGAAAGTATTTTCCAACTCTTATTAGAACAGTTACAGTTTTTCGTAAATTAAATATACATGATGATTCTTTTAATTTTATTTTGATCTGCTGATTTGTTTCAGTAACTAAATGCTCAAATAAATGGTTCAGAATTGTGAGCTTTACTTTAACAGCAAAAATTTCTTACCTACAGTGTGACTCCAGTTTTTAAAGCTCAAGCTCTTGCCATGAAAGACCACCCAAAAAATCAAAGCAAAATAACCAATCCCTTTCTAAACTGATAATTCAGAGCAATTGAAATTTTGTGTCTGATATCTCTATCTTGTTACTAAAATGCTGCTGCTTTTGCACATAGTTGTGTCAAATTAAGAACACCAATGAGCTCAAGCACCATAATCCAAAAGCTTCTGTTAGCAGCAAAAGTGGCAAAACTGAGGCACAGGGAAGAGGTATTATCCTTGTATGTCACTCAACAGGTATAGGACACACAAAAAAAAAATCTGATTCACAGTCTAATGCCTCTTAGGAGGGTCTCAAAAAAAATAAATACACTTTTCTAAATTTGTTACCCCTTTTCTGCAGTATAACCAGAGTGGAAATGCAAATTTACCCTACATATTATAAGCAATAAATATAAAATAGGAATTCCAGAAACTCTCAAGGGGTAGCTTATTGCTATTTGCAATAAGGTAGGCATTGTACCCTTTTCTTTTGGGGTTCAAATGATTGAGAAATATACACCTATGGTTTGGAGTTGGGTTTATTTTTAATTTATTTTTTTTTTAAGCTGTGACAAGTTTATGTCCAAGAAATTTTCCTAGCACTAACCACACATCGAATCAGAACATGAAAAGATTCCTATCTTGTACTAGAAATAGAAAGAATCTTGCAAATATTTAAATTTATCTTCATCATCTACAGGAAGGAGAAAGGAAAATAAAGTAAAATATACCACTGATTAGTAAAATCTAAGCCAGTCTAAATTGTATGAACTAAGGAAAGTTATTCTGTAGCAATTCTGGACAGAAATGAAAGTATATTTGACAACTCTACACAGTCAGATACATTCTTGCAAGCCCCCCTCCCTCACAATTTTTAGCTCCAAAAATGGATTCTTGATGGAAAAAGTGATTTAACTGTATCTAGGAAAACTATAAGGAGGAAAAAATATCCTAGGCATACCTAAAAGTATTGAATTTGCTCAAAAATTAAATTTCAGGAGGTTCCTTCTTTAATCTAACAGTATTCCAGATATATTATTTCCTGTGTTTTAGTTGACATAATTAAACTTCTGGCAAATTTCTTATTTTAAACCCATTAACTTAAAGGAATTAAAATGACAAAACTAGATGCAATAAAGATTTATGATTCACATTCCCAGTTTGTTTGTGGTTCTATTTTTAGATGTCATAACTTCATTTATTCTGAGACAACAGCCTTAAAATTAACCTGCATTATCACTTCACAAAGAAAGATCTTTTTAAAACCTAAGAGCAAATGATACTTACCAAACACAAGTATGAACAATGTATTTAAAGATACCACCCAAAAGACATGTTCCTGCAAGGAGTACGGGGAAGGAGGGAGGAAGATGACAAGGAAACAGTACATAAATATCAGTTATTTAAATAAGTGACTTCACTTTTGTATCTAAATGTCTTATTTCAACTGCCTATTATTACCAGAACTTGCACATCTCATGTCAGAGACAAGAAAGACCAAAGACCAAAACATGCAGACTACGAAAGCACCAGTTTGCATTTGCGGATATTTACCCAGATAAGAGCATTTGTATTTGCTTTAATATTCTTATTTTGTAAATGTAAGTTTTTATTTTAAAATCAATATAAACAGTTTAATACTGGTATCAATTATTCAAGAGGGGAAAAAACCCAAATAAAGTTAAGAAACATAACTGAAGTTCTTAAATTTTAATATCTAGTCTACACTAAAAATTTACTCATGGTATTCTGGTGGTGTTAGAGCAAATCAGAGAAGCCTGAATGAGGACATTATACTAGTCGTAACAGAGAGTAAAACTTTCTGCTAGAACGTATTTTCAATGTACACTCTTTAAAGGGTCTAATTTTTTTTTACAGTAGAGTACGTGATCCAAAGTTACCTATATCTTTTAACAAATTCCACTTTTATGCCCCCCACACACCACTCTACTCTGAGACTCCTAAAGAAGACAATTTGCTTGAACATGACATCATATGAAACTCTCTTTAAAGAATATGTAATATGAAACTAGAGACTTAAAATAGAATTACAACATTTAAAAAATACAATTTACTTAAAAAAAAAAAAAGCCTGCTGTAGCAATTCTTGAAATGAAGGATTTCACTTACTAAAAAAACCAGAGATCCATCAAGGCCAAGCATCTGTGAAGGTAAGAAAGATAGTTTTATTTCCTCATCAGAAAAATGTTAAGTAATATGTATCTAAAATAAGTCTCACACAAGCCTCTTTCACACCCACTTTTAATGTCCAATAGGCTCAAAAGCTTTTTTTACTACTCAACTAACAGAATCTGGACTTAAATTCTTAAAGATAAAGGTAGAAACTAAGTTCTTGTTCAACAGAGGAAACTCCGTTGATCATAGGCAGTGATATACATGTGGAATATCTCAATATACATGTATTTATATACGGCAAACCAAACATATCACCAACTAACTTACAGGCTATTTCTCTCCAAGGCTTCAAAGACTCTGACAAAGATTTTGTATTTACAAGGGATTTCAGTGATTGAACCGTTATTTAAAAACATTTTTTTTTCATAGTGAGTTGCTTAAACATAAGATGTTTTTCTTTCCTTCCTAATTGCAAACTATCAGTTTATGTTTCACTGAGAAAAGTGGAAGGTTAATATTTTATCTTCAATCCATAGAAGCAACAAGTAACAGGACAATGTTGCTGCACTGTATGTTATTTAGAACAGAACTGGTTTAAAGCTAGGGAAGACAGGAAACAAATCCTTCACCACTGCATAGCTGTTACAGGAAGTGTCCACAGAACAGAAAAAATAGAGCACCTATAAAAAACCCAAAGATATCTCTCCTTTCCCCTCACTTCAAGGTTTTTTGTTACTATTTCAATCCAGACACTCCCATTCTGTGACTACCGCTGTTCAGGTTCAAGGCTATCTTGTTCCAGGACTCTGCAGTAAGTTCCAAGATATTAAAGTTGCACATATTTTATAAAGTAAACCAAGATGCAAATATTTCTGAAAATGATAAAGTTCATGTGTTATTTTCACAAGATGAAGCAGCAGAAAAGCCTACCCCACTTCTGTTACTAAATGCTGACTAGATGTCTATTGCCTATGCCAGAACACAGGAGCAAAAATGGTTAAGAAAACTTGCTGAAAGTGATTTCTATATTATGGAGAAACATCAAAACATTTTCAACTAGAAGTACATCAACATTTCCCAGCACATAAGTTGGGTTCAGAAATATGACACTCGCCTCTTGAGATACACAGTAGAATGGTTCAGACACCTGAATTTATGTTTTAAAAGACAGTGAACTAGGGCATACAAACTAAGAAGTTTCCTCTAGGTATAAAACAAAGATCAAGACTTGTCCCTTGTGATGAAAATCATATTTCTACTGCAAGCAAGATAACAACTGTATCACAGACCAGATATACAGCGACTAGCTTTACAATCATTTGCCACAGGCACTAGTGACGCTGGTAAATCACATGAAGCTGCTGCATCTACCTTCAGGTAGATTTTGTTGCATGTAATGATCTTTGAACTCAGACATTGGCTACTTATAAATCAGCTACAAAAAACTAGTTCTTGAGTGTCTACACTACTATATGATTACAGTGTACTTGCATCTCATGCTTTATTATGGAATTTGTGATCCATAAACAAAACAGAAGCAATGTTACATTAAAATGCTCAATTTTTTAAAAGAAATTTGCCTTTTGCAAATATGTAAACAAAGTAAATTAACCTAGATTTCCATTTCTCTCTTTTCTTTAGTTTAACACTTTAATGAATACAAAAATTAAGCGTTAAGCTATACATAACACAACACCTATGTGGTCCTCATCTGGCCTACCATCCTCAATGCAAGATGCAACTGATTTCTAAACCTGATCAAGCTGAAGACTTCAGAAAACTCTGTGTCAAAACATGTTTTAAGCTGCTACTATACTTCAAATAAAATCAATGCCTTTTTAATAGTTAACAAATAGCGTAATAACATTTTGGTTTTAATACAATGACACTTTTAGGTCACTAAAGCCTCTCACTGACAGTTTTCACACTAGACAACAGTATCCAAATCTATGCCAAATGCATTTTAACACAACAATACTACAAATAATTTTGAGTCTGAATTATTCAATAAAATGATTCTTACTCACTCGCTCCCAAGTAAGCTCTTCTGCTGCTCGATCCCATTCCAAAGCATTCCAGTTCATGTCATCTGAGGAGACAATGGGCATTTTTACAGCTGTCAGACTCGTGCAAAACAAGATGGAACCACTCCATGCTATGTTTTAAATTAACAAAGAGACTTAAGCGCATAACATTCAACTCATAACTGCTGGTAGCTTTTCAAGAAAGCAAATGCTTCAGCACTCAAAGGACATATATGAAATTTGCAAAAACAAGATAAACAAGCTGAAGAGGAAATTTACACAGCTTCCTTGAATTATGACAGTTCTGTTTGCAATGGTTTAATTTATGAAGAACTAGAACATTACTGTTTTGAGTCACCTGTTACCTTGTGCTCCATTGTTTGCATCTGCTGCATCTTCTACTACAGCATCTTCTTCATCTTCATTATCTTCCTCCTCTTCATCTACTTGTTCTTCTTGAATGTCAGGGTTCTCACCTACCACTACATTCTCAGCAGCTGGGTTAGCAGGTTGATCAAGCACAGCATTTTCAACACCTCCATTTACAACTGCCTGAGCCTGCAGAAACAGGATTTAGTATTCACTTAAATTGATCATAATCTCTTTGTATTTTTATCTTGTACACAGAAAAAATGAATAGTATTAAAAAATGTTAATAATGTATTTTTTTTTAGATAAGCATTAAATTTGGGACCTTTCCTTTTTTTTTTTTTTCATTTTCCTTAATGTTCAACTTCTGCTAACGTACAAATAAAGATATGCTGCAGTAAAATAACATTACTGCTGGGTTCCAATAATGTATTTATTCACAAAAACACATTTTCTAAATTTTTCAGGAACTACTGAGCAGCTAAGTTTTACCTCATTTTGCTGACCAACACCATTGAGTGGCTGTTGCTGATTTTGTTCCAACCACTGTGGCGCTCCTCCATGGACGATCTGTTCACGCAACCAAACAAGGCTGATAAATGCACACAGAGTGCATGTTACCACAAAACAGCCCTGCAAACAGTCAGCTAGTAAGTTCTCCCTGTTAAAGGAAGAAAAAAAAAAACCACTAATGACAAATATTTTGCTAATAAGATTAAACTTAGTCATTGTTAACTACCACAATCAGATCCTCCTAGTCCAAATCAACAAACAAACTGGTACTTGTGCAAAAAGCTGAATTTATTTATGTGTCTAGGTGAAGATAGTATCTAGACCTAATTTTCATTTCATTTTTCAAAAATCTGCTCCAAGAAGGTTTCTTTTAGGAAGGCTGTTAAGTACCTGTGTACAAATGGTTTTAAGCGCCAAGATAAACACTGATTTGCAAAAGGCTTTATTTCCCTCTGGTCTGGTTTGTGAAATTGCTACTGTTTAAACATAAATATTCCTGCAAAACAGGAACTGACTCAATAGGAAGAAAAGCTTCAAGAGTAGTTCAGGAAAAAACAATCTTCAAGAACAGCAAAGAAAACACAATAGTCACTAAGTAAATTATTTACTACAGTAAAGGGTCTGTTTAATTGCTAGATGCATAATATCTAGTCCACTGAAACATTTTATCTGCTGAGGTACCCTAATCAGGTAGGGTTTGCCTTCAACTGCTCTACATTTTGGGTAGTCTTTTACCCCAGATATTCCCACTATACTTTAAAAATCCTAATCTATCAAGGCATACATAACTGTAAAGCTGCAGCAAGAGAAAGTTCAGTTAGTCACCTGAAACTAGTTTCATGCAATGCAAGAGGCAATTAAATTGGCTTAAGCAACCTTCATCCCTAACTCCAGGTACTCCCCTTCCACTTGTTTCCACCCTTGCACTACTCCTTGACCACAGTGAATTTGCTCAGGAAACTAACCAACTACAATACATTTTTAAAAATAAGAACTATGCCACCACAGTACTCTGCCATCCCCAAAGAGGCATCAGAGTCTGGCTGACATAGAGTCTGGCTCTCCATACAGCTGCACAAACACCTGTGCCTGCAAAGCACAGTGAATACCATGGGGACAAGAAGTACAAAACAAAAAGATCAGGTAAGATGCAATTAAAATTGACTCTGTCAAATAAATATCAAAGCACAGCTTCAAATGCCAATAAAATCTGACACATACTTGAGTCCTTTATCTTCTCCCTAGATTGTAAAAGATATGAGAAGAGGTGTTGTAGGTTCAATTGTTTCAGATTCTTCTCAGAAAAATAAAAATAAAATCTCCACTTACTGGGACAGAACAGGAAAAAATACTATTATTAATCTCAAGCAAACATCTCTCTCCATTAATAAAAATTGATTAAACATAACATGACTTGATGTCTCAAATCAAATATCCCAAATGAGATGACTTAGCTGAACTGCACAGGACATTAATTCAAAATTTGCTTGATGTGCAAGTGATTCTACTCAAACTGAGCTTCAGCCTCTCAGGTTCAAGAAAACGAAAAAAGTAAGAACCAGCCTGAAACTGTTATGTTGGTATTTACTGATTCTTAAAGTAAAATTGATTTTAAAAAGACAAATATAGACAATATTCAACAGAATATGGTGACTGAAGCATTAAAATCTAAGTGTCAGCTAAAAGGCAATCCAATTAAAAAAAACCCCTATCACATGAGACTCAGGATGGATAAAAGTTAAATTCAAAATGTAAAAATGTATCAAAGCAAACAGAATGTGACATTAATATTATTAGCAATATATATTAATATTCTACTATGTGACATCTGATTTAAACTGTAGGAAATTTTTTTTTAATTATTAAGTGTAATATTGCAGCATAAGTTTTCTCGACATCAAAACCAAATCTTCATTAACCAGGGCCGATTCTGTAAAGTCAGTTTTCCATCTCCAAAGATCCTAAATACCAGAACTTCAATGGGAAATTATTTCTACTGTAATACTGTTGGCCATATATCTTGTTATGTAAAGGGTAACAGGCAGCTGCTCACATATGATGATGGAAGATAACGAACATAACTGAAAGAAAGGGACACTAAGTTCCAAAGCAACCATGGTAACTGACTAGAAAAGTTATTTGTATCAAACCTTTTAAGTACTTACGTTGACAGAATATCTAATGGCAGTGTCAGTAGTGAGCTCACAGAGCCAGTAAACAAGCACTTGTAGATACGACCTGCATGAAGAAACAGAAGTGTGGTGCAAATTCAATTTTGGTTATAGCTTCACTTGGAAAGGACCATCGGTAGCCTCTTTTCACCTGGTGTGCTAACTAAATTTATTATGAGGAATAAAATTTCAAATTTGAGCAAGCTGACAGAACTCAAGACCATATACAACTATGTGGAATAAAGCTGTATTTAGTTTAGCCGAACATTCTTGATAAAGTATAGATTCAAACTATAAGAACTGCCATATTAGATTAGACCCATGATTCATCTAGACCCGTCTCCAGCACTGGTTACGCCAATGGATGCCTAACGAAGAATATGGAAACAGGCTAAAGATACTTCCAGAAATACTTTCTCTCAGTGCATTCTTCTATGCTTCTCGCAAAGCAGTTCCTGTGCCATAATATCTGAGTGCTAATTAATCCTTGACGGATTTTTTCCCCCCATTAATCTGTTCAATTATACTTTGAACCTGTATAGACTTTTGGTATTATGATATCTTGTAACAAGGAGCCTCACCATCTCATTATCTGTTTTAAATAATTGTTTTATGGATTAATACTTGATGGTAATTAATGTTAGCTTTTTACCACCATTCTTCAGTCACATAATCTGGGTTCAGATTGGTAGTAGGATGACAAGGATGCTCAGAATAGGATGAGGGAAGATTTAAGACACTCATACCCACAAATGCAACTCTTAGGATTCTCATTCCACCCTTAAGGCAGGCATAGGTACCCAAGTATATACTGGTACACTATGGTTTCTGTGACCTAGAATAAATAGCTCAGTCGTTATCTCTTGGTTAAACCTGTTTGGAACTTATAGAAAGTTTGTTTCTACATCTCTCATGAATCAATCCATCAGAAATGCCCAAAAGGTCTACTGTTCATGCTCACCTTTCTGCAAGACATAATACAGCACTTGGAGGAAGTTAACACTTACATCCCCAGTGCAATCCACCCCTCCTGCTGAAAAAAAAAACAGAAAATAACAGATAATAATACAAAATTCAAAGGTTTAGAGTAAGTTAGAACACAAAAAAGACAATGGGTGTAGGTGATCTGTGAAAACGTTCAGTCTCATTGTAGTCAGCACTACCTACACATTTTATATTGAACAGTCACCGAATCAAATTTAGCAAGATGATACTGATCCTCTGCTGCCAGTGAGCTTCAATAGTTTGCCTCTGCCTACCGTCTAGCTTCATGGTGGGGGAACTTCAAAGGGGAAAGATACTGCTGTGAACTCTGCCAGGCTGAAAAGGCCAAAAAACATGAGTCTTATAACTCCCAATTACACTACACTGGTAGGAAACCAGTGTAACAAAACTCACTATGAGATTTTATGGACTAGGAAGGGGATTTTATCACACAAAATCTCTAAGCAAACTGATCTCTATGCAAGATATTTTTCCTCACAGACTTCACTTGCTCACTCTTACACAAGCACTAAGACATGTACGCCCAAGCGGTCTGGACAGGATCACTTGTGGACAACACTGAAGACAAAGAACACCAGCTAGTAAATCCTCATCATATCTCTCGGATTCTTCTTGATTGGCATCTATGAATTTATTTTAGACTTGCCTTTTATGCTCTTCATGAGTGGTTGCCATTTGGGATCTTTGCCTCATTGTTTTGTTTCATCCTTACTGAGTCTGAGGCAAAATTCACAGCTCTCCTGTTTTCCTTATCTGTATATCTTATAACTCGTCTTATTCTTCATCTTCCTGACACCTTATATTTAGTCTGTTTGTTTTCCCTCTATTTGAATGAAATCACATATACAGCGCTCTCTGGCAAAAAGCTAATATTCCCTTTGGCCTTTCTGCTGCTTCCCACATACACAATTCCATTCATACTTTACTCATGCCAATTTAAGTTGTTCTGTTACACATCTCTACAATTTTAACCACTACCCAATTACACGAAATGCGTATACAACTATTCCCTTCAGCTATATTGTTTTTTTTTAAAAGAAAGGCAACTGAATCACTCCAGAAAAACACATTCATGTGCCATATCATAGAATCATAGACATATTGGTGTCTGAACAGTGATTTCTAACATCTGAGATAAAGGAGACACTTCAGACAAACCAACTCCTACTCTAGCATTTCCTACTGCCTTAGTGTATACATTCCCTTTACTCAGTACGTACACCTCTTTCTTATCCGTGTACTGTATAGTTAGTTACCTTGGGTATTTCACTCTAGGAACCACGCAACTAAATACAATTAACACAGATAATAAAACCACTTTGGATTAAAATTGATCCAGTTAATCCTACTTCTCTGAGCAGATCACATAAAATTGTATAACTGGCTTTTTTGTCTACTAACGTAAATATGCTTTGTGCTAAGAGAACAGCACATCAGAGCCTGCTGGGATTAGGCTGAGGGCATGCACAGACAGATAAAGTCCTTTTACTCTACCATGTAAGATGGGTATGCAATAAAGACATGAAATTTTAAAAGAATGTAGAATTTATCCCACAATGGAATAACCGCATGACTAGCACGTTAATCTGGAAGATAGATTGGTTCTCATTTGGTATGTTTGACAAGTTTTTTATGCTGCACCTTTTTCTTCCAGATACAAAATAATGAGAGTACTTCCTTGTGAAGCCAGCCACACACTGCTGTAAGAATCATACGACAGAAACAGGCAAGGCCAAAGCTTACATTAGAAAATATTTAACTATTACAGAAAATTAAAAATTACATTAAAGGCATTTAATGTAAGACAAGACCTATACAAAATCACATCCACAAGACAGATCCAGACAACTTTCAAAAGTAAATGGATTTTCCAAGGTTTGTTACACTGAATGGCTCTATCATGTTGGATATCTTCCTGTGCAAATACATTACCCTTCACAGCACATTAATTCTTAGAGGAATCCATAAACAGGTGTACATGTGCAATATTAGAGGCAGAAATTAAGACAAAGGAAAACAAAAAAATTCACTCATAATTAAAAATAAGTCAGTTATATTGGCTTACTAAATGAGTATTAAAAAACCAAAAATGACACTTAAAAAAAAAAAGAAAAAAGTGTTATATAACTAAGTTGCAGGTTGTGACTTCTGGTAACATTTTGGTATTACTGAAGAGGCAGCACCAGGTTTTCAGAGAGTTATGAAATGTAACTACCTTAATTAATCTATTGAATATGATTGTGCTGTCCTTCAGAAGTTTTACTAAGAAAAGCGTACAACATTTGTATTTTGAAAGACAATGGTAAAAAAACCAAGAAATCTGAAATATATTTTATTTTTAATTTGTAAATCTTGTTTACTCCATGTCCAGAAAAGCTCTTTTTCTTGTATGGGAATGACAGGCTGCAGAAACAGAATCACTGTTTCATAGCTGATGCCAGTATTGTGGTATTTGCTAACTAAGCCAGTGCCAGCTACAAATAAAAGTACAGAACATACTGAGAAACTGTCTAGGGAGATGCATTTACTGGCTTCTTGCTCTTTTGTTCGAGGGGTATATTACTGTTTGTAAAGAGACACTTCCAATCATTTCCTTGAGTGAACACTATAACCCTTGTGCCTTTTTCGTCTTCTCTATATTTTTATCTTGTTGAAACATCAGTAGTTCTCTTTCCATTTCTATCTGAAAAGTGAATTTCAAATTGGATACTGCAGTAATTTAAATACACGCTCTCTTTTTTTGTTAAATTCCTTTACTACTTATAGGCCTTT